GAGTTCTAACACCATTCAATGGGGGAAAGAATAGTCTTTTCAACAAATAGTGTAGGGATAACTGGATACCCACATATAAAAGAATGAGTGAAGTTGGACTTCCACCTCTCACCATGTATAAAGATTAACTCACAATGGATCAAAGACCTAAATACAGGAACTAAAACTATAAAATTCTTAGAAGGAAATAGAGGTGTAAATTTTTGTGATCTTGGATTAGACAACAGTAATTAAAATATGACATCAAAAGCATGAATGACAAAAGAAAACAATAGGTAAACTAGACTTCATCAAAAACTTTGTGCATCAAAGGTAGGAATCCAAGCTTCACAGGTGTTCTCCACTGACTTAGGGGGAGGGAATGCCTCATCATAGCCACTGGCTGCCTACATGGCCGTCTCTGATAGTCCCAGCTATCCTAGTCCATTTGGGCTGCTATAGCAAAATACCATAAACTGGTTAGCTTATAAACAACTAATGTATTTCTCATGGTTCTGAAAGCTGGAAAGTCCAAGATCAAGGTACTGACAGAGTCCGTGTCTTGTGAGAGCCTGCTCTCTCATGGATGGCGCCTTGTCCCTGAGTCCTCACATGGTGGAAGAGGTAGGGGTTGCTCTCAAACCTCTTTTATAAGAGTACTCATCCCATTCATGAGGGCCCTGTCTTCAGGACCTAGTCACCTCTCAAAGAAACCACCTCTTAAGCCGGGCTCGATGGCTCAGCCTGTAATCCCGTGCTTTGGGAGGCTAAGGTGAGTGGATTGCCTGAGCCTGCAGGTTCGAGACCCGCCTGGGCAACTTGGCAAGACCTCATCTCTACAATAAATCAAAAACTAGCTGGGCGTGGTAGCGCGCACCTGTAGTTCCAGCTACTTGGAAAGCTGAGGCGAAGGATCACCAGAGCCCAGAAGGTCGAGGCTACAGTGGCCGGGAGCGGCCACTGCACTCATCTGGGTGACAGAGTGACTCCAACTCAAAAAACAAAACAAAACAAAACAAAAAAACCACCTCTTAATACCATGACCTTGGGGGTCAGGACTTCAACATATGAGTCTGGGACTGGAGGTGTGTGTGTGGAGAGGGGACACAGATATTCAGACCATACAGGTACCTTGTTCTTCCCTGTATTGGAGTAGAGCAGTTATTGTCTAAAGGTTTTTTTCTTGCTAAGCTGCCCACCTCCTAGTCCTTTGACTAGAAAGAGCAGGCTTGCTCTTCCTTCTTCCCTCCCTCCCTCCCCCCCCTCCCCGCCCCCCGTTGGTGTTTCCCAGTATGCTGTCTTAAAGCTCCAAGTCTGGGATATATATATTAGGCAAAAAGAAAACCCGGGAAGCTCACCACTATGTTGTACCTTGGGTCCCAAGTTTTCCAGCTTATCTGCTTTCTTTCCTCCGCTTTCAGTCTTCTTACACTTTGTTTTATCTGTCATGTCCAGGAATTTAGTTGTATGTAGCAGAAAGAATAGGGAACAGTATGTCTACTCCATCTTCCCAGAAACAGAAGTTCTATAACTGACTTTCTAAATGGAAAACGATGAAATAATTTTATTGTACAAGGGGGGATCCTGACAAAAGCAGAATTCTTCTTTAGAGAGCAGGCCCCTTGTAGTATAGGCTTCCCTGCTAGATAAGTGTTCTAGGAACCCCCATCAGCATCTGTGTACCAGTTAGTGTTACCGTGAGAGGCTTTGACTTTTTTTGGAGGTTCTTTCAATACATTCACCTATTTCATGATGGGTGATTTATACAAACAATGTGCGGCAGTTCAGGGCACCTGCCCACACATCACTGAATGTTCAGCAGTTTTTGACCAAAAATGGCATGCCCCCTGTGCCCCACCCTCCCTGTTAACCTGATCTCACCCTGAGTGACTTCTTTTGTTTCCCTGGATGGGAAAAAAATGTCCTCAAAGGGAAATGTTTGGCCGATGCTGAAGAGGTGAAACAAAAGATGACTAATGAAGTACTAAAAGGCATCAAAATGGATGAGTTCAAAAACTGTTTTGAGCAGTGGAAAAACTATCTGGATAGGTGCCTTTCATCACATGGAGAGTACTTTGAAGGTGACTGAAGTTTAAACATGTAAGAATAAATACACAATTTTTAAATGAATAAATTCTGGGTTTTTTTGGGTCCCCCCTTGTATGTGAGCAGTGGTAGCACATTTAAGAGAAATTAAGATAGATTCTATCCATTCATATAATTCGTTAGATTTATGAAGCAGTTCCGTGGTAAGGTTTTACTTCAGAAAACTAGATTTATGAATTTGTTACTTTACTAACATATATATACACACACACATATATATATATATATTTTTTTTTTTTTTTTTTAAAGTAAAAGCAGGTAGCCTTTTTGTTCACCCAAGCCATCTGTAAAACGGGAGGGGAAAACTCCATTCAGGTTTACAAGAAGTTGGACTAATAATAAACATGTTCCCAAACTGCATTCCATGAAGTGCTGATTCTATTAGGCTTTTTGGTTGCAGGTAACAGAAACCAGCTCGTGATCAAAAGACTGGGGCTGCTCCTGACTTTAGGAAGGACAGGAGCCAGGGTGGCTGGCTCCAGGGGCCTGAGGAGCAGGAATGGATCTAATGATTTGTCTAGGCCTCACCTTGGGCCGAAGAAAGCCAGCCTTTCTTCAGCCTTTGTGTTTCTCAGTCCAAGATTTGAATTCCAGGGGCAGAGTTTCTGACCTGCTTGATTTGGATCACGCTTGGGTCATCGGCTCATCCTTGTCCAGGGGAGGATCAAGGACTGGAATGACAGTTCCAACGAGGCTGTGTCCAGTGGGGTGGGGCCGGGGGTGGGGGGAGGTGCCCTCCCCAGCACAACCAGCGTGCTATTTATCAGAAGAGATGTTATTAAAATGTCAGTTGGATGAGAATCATAGATGTCTACTGCAGGTGCCAATCGCTGGATCCCAGGTTAAGAGTTCTAGAGCCAAATACCTTTGGGAAACCTGAGTTAGAACAGGAGAAACTCCTCTGAGAGCCTCCATCACGTGCACTGTGGGCCTTCAAGCAGCAGGTTGAGGATGCAGGTGCTTCCCAAGCTGATTCAACTACATGGTGCTTGTTTTACCTTGAACCCTTTTGACACATGAACCTCTATGAGAGCCCAGTTGGGGAAACCCTGGCTCAGTTGGTCTCTAGCAAGGCTTTTAGGTCTGAGGCCCTGTTTCTGCCCTCAGTCAGTTTCCAGCACTTTACATTATCCAGGTCGGAGACACACAAGCCTGACCAGGGAGAGACTTGTTTCAGGTTGCAGAGCTGGGACTGGAACCGGGATCTTCTGGCGCCTGGCTCATATGCTACAGTGCTATGCCTTGCTGGAGGAGAAGTTAAGAATAGCCATTCATGGTGATTTCTGTCAGTGGGCCTCTGTCTCTCTCCCCCTGCCCTGGTCCCAGGCCAGTGTTGTCTCTTAGGGAAAACCTGCCCTCAGCCTGTAACCACTGCATTCCAGGAAAGGAAGGGTACAAGGGAGAAAGGGTTGGCTCCAACCTAACTGCTGACTCAATCCTGAGGAGGAGGCAAGACCCACTGTGGCCACTGTGGCACAGCTTGCTAATTGTCTGTCTTCCCAGCTGGCTTGCTATTTTCTGTCTTCCCAGATGGATTGAACCCTGTGAGAGCAAGGACTGCATTTGTCTTGTTCACTGCTGATTGCCTGGGGCCTGGCCCACGCCTTAAAGATTCACCAAGGAGGGCAACCGGGTGGGATGAACCACCTGAGTGGAGGAAGACCTGAAAGGGTGCATCCTGGAAAGGCAGGATTAATTGTTGACTAACAGAGCATTCCTTGATGTTTAGTGGTGGGTGTGTTGGGGAGACACTACATTATGGTTTAAATGCTAAGTACACTTTGACCCTACTTCTAAGAATTTATCCCAAGGGACTAATCCACACAAACACACCAAAATGTGTGTAATAGGCTGTCCTATCACAGCATTGTTTTTAAAAAAGGAAATAGCCTAACTAATAATAGTGAACCCATACAATGTAGCCTATCCAAACAATGAGTTATTTGACATTTGTTAAAAATGAGGAATTAGGCCAGGAATGGTAGCTCATGCCTGTAATCCCAGTACTTGGGAAGGCTGAGGCAGGAAGATTGCTTGAGGTCAGGAGTTCAGCCTGGGCAACATAGGGAGACCCCATCTCTAAAAAAAAATATTTTTTTTAATAAAAAAAGATGACGAATTAGATATGCCTGACAGGGAAATGTGTTTGCAATCTGTTAAGTAATAAAAAAAAAAGAGGTTATAAAACAGGATGGTAATCTTATTTTTGTAAAGCAAATTCACATTTCTATTGATATGCCAATTTATAGACAAAAAAGACTTACAGGACTAAGAACCAAAATGTTTATAGTAATTATCTCTGGGTTATAGAATTATAAGTCACTTTTCTATTGTGTTATTATTATTCTTTTTATTTATATTTTGTAATTAGTTTACCATGAATACATGTTTAATAATTATTTCATAAAGTTTTTAAAAAATACCATGCCAAGGAATCTGAACCTGACTCCTTAAGTAATATAAATTAATTTTTTATAAATTAAATAATTAAAAATTCCCTAAGCAAATTAGCCAGTTAAAAGAGTCTCATTTAAACCCCTCTGAGAACATGAGAGTTCACTGATAAGTAGCAAAAAGTATTCCTGCATGTATTTCTCATAAATTCTGATTTCTGAATGTTGCTTTTCTGCACAGAATGGTGGCAAGTCAACACATTAAAGGAAATAGCAGAGCTGGTTTAGACCTTGATGGGTCATTGTGACCAGCCGACCAAAGGATGGTGTTTTCTAGAAGTGTCCAGTTCAGGAAAGTGTTTTATAAACCAACAAAGCAGCCCAATTAACCTTGGATGGTATAACTCCAGTGGAAATCTGGGACGTGGCTTGGTGGTAGATGTTGTTTTTCTGGTTTTGTTTTGGGGATAGCAAACAGCTGGGTATTGAATGTGCCCCAACTCATGTCTGCTCTCTTTACAGGAAAACTTGATTGGTGCCCTCTTGGCAATTTTCGGACACCTCGTGGTCAGCATTGCGCTTAACCTCCAGGTAAGTTTTGGCTACCAGTGCTGTCTGGAACAGAGATATAGCAGAGAAATCGGGGTGTCTTATCTAGGTCCAGCTTCCTCCGCTCTGTGGGTCCCCCTACTCCATCCCTGGGCTGTGCTGGGGACAATACCTTGTGGGCCGTTGCAGAATCTCTCTTGATCCGGGTCTCCCTCTGTCACCCTCCTAGCCAGGTCTTCACCTCCTCTCCTTGGCTGTGCAGTGACCTCCTACCTGGCCTCCCTGGCTCTGGTTTCATCCTCTCCCGTTTGCCTCGCTACAAAGCTGCTGAAATTATCATTGTAGAATTCAGTGCTAATGACAGCACTGTTCATTGCTTAAAAGGCTCTAGGAGTTTCCTATAGCAGTTGCTGTGGATGCCCTCACTCCTGACCACATACCCTTGGCCCGCCTGAGCTCAGGAGCAGCTGTGGTTTGGAGCAAGCTATAACTTCTCGTGGAGGCACCAGGAACCTGGTCCCCCTGGCATGCAGGTGCCATGGGATGTGTGTTGGGGGACTTTAAGGCCCCTGGAGTCTGCCTTCAGCCAGCGGAGGTGAGAGTCATGGATAAATGCCCAAGCTCCTATACTCCAGTAGGACAGACAGTTCTGAGGTGAGATTCATGGGGTTTCTCAGCAGAACTGAGCCCCAGTTGTCCACGGGGCTAATTCACTTATTAACGCTTCTTCCCTTCTTTTGTTCTCTATGCCCACCTCACTTTCCCCCTCCCTCCCTTGCACTTCCTGGAAACATCTCCCTCACAAACTCTCTGCTTCCAAGTCCTTGTCCCAGGGACTGCTTCTGGGAAACCCAGCTTAGACTTGATACCTGCTAGCAGGATAAATCCCATAGCAAGTCAGTCAACGTCACCTGGCCAACGTCACCAAGTTCCCACCCACCATGAGCTGTTCTTCCTCCCTGGATGGGCAGGAGACTGTCATCCCCCAGGGTACACATCCATGGGGACTCCCATGCATGTGTGGTGTTTCTGTGTTGCTGAGATCACGTGGTCTCAGCTACTTGTCTGATTCATTCCCTTCTCTCTACAGACCAGCATCTCCACTTAATGCATATGCTTCCATGCAGTCCACATCATGATCTTCCCCAGATGGCCAACTTGGCCTTCTAAGTCAACATGACTTTTTAGCCCGCCTTTGCTATTGCCTCAGTGTTTATGCGCCAAGTTCACTTTTCCTGGGGAATATATATATCCGTGCCATGCTTGAGCCAAGTATCCACCCAGGGAGGACAAGGTCCACCAATACCCATGAGAGCTGCTGGCACAGACAGAAATGTAGCCAAGCAGGTATCCCAAACGTGGGAATCCTGGGATCACAGTGAGAGGGAGAAGGTGACCCTAAAAGCCAGGCCAAAGTGGGATCCTTAGACCACGACTCCCACCCCAAGACAGCACATCATCTGTGCTGTGTGTGAGAAATGCCTGTTTCCAGGCCTCACCCACACCTTCCTGAGGCTGACTGAGGATGAGGCCCAGATGGGTGTTTATTCAAAGCTCCCTGGGGAAGTATTAAGTATTAAGAATTCCCAGCCCGTTGGAGAGCTACCGTCCTAGATTAACCATCTAGGATTAGCAATTAGAGCACTACTGCTTTAAGGACTCCAAATAATTTGACAGATCTTTCTAATTTATTTTTGAAAGTGGAAGGTAGATTTAGGATATGTATATCATACCCTTTTGTCCCCCAAACATCTGGGCAAATTGCATTCTTTCTCGGTTTTCTAGAAGTACTGCCACATCCGCCTGGCAGGCTCCAAGGACCCCCGGGCCTATTTCAAGACCAAGACATGGTGGCTGGGCCTGTTCCTGATGCTGCTGGGTGAGCTGGGCGTGTTCGCCTCCTACGCCTTCGCACCTCTCTCGCTCATCGTGCCCCTCAGTGCCGTCTCTGTGATAGGTGAGACCAGGGCTCTACCCCCCTTCCTCTGGGCTCACCCACCTGTGTGACCAGTGTCATCTCAAGATCTAAGGCACTCACTGAACAAATCAAGTTTCCTTGGGTAATACTAGCCTAACACAAAAAGCTTCATATACCCCAGGCCCTGTGAGTGCTTTACAGATCTTAATTCTTCCAATCCTCCCAGAGACCATTATCCCCACTTTACAGATAAGGAAACTGAGGCACAAAGTGATGAAATTACTTCCTCCAAATCACACAACTAATGAGTAAATGGACTGGGTTATGAACCAGGCTGTCTGGCTCCAGAATTTGTTTCAGATTCAGAATGTTGATCAGACTTGCTTTTTATTTTTTTTCTTTTCTTTTCTTTTTGTGAAAGCAGGATTTATTGAGAGGACAGAAAAGCTCCCAGAGTAGTAGGGGACCTGAGAGGGTTGCCCCTTGCTTTTTATTTCTACTGCAAAGAAGGTGAACCTTAACCCAGACATTCTTACACCAAGATCAACTAAGCTTTTGTATAATTTGGGTATCTTACACCTCTAGAAATGCACATTCAGCTTATTCTCTGATTTTGTACATCAACTGATTCCATTTTTAAAACATCAAACAATCTCCAGTGGCACAGTCGGTTGGTGCTTGGTACTTATATAAAAAATCACTAACTTTCTCATCTGCCATTTTTCTGTGATTTCTGTAATCAGTGAGCTAGTGTTTTCAGTGTTTGAACCAACTAAAAGACAAAGGAGTTTGAATGTTCATGAAGTCACAGAGAAAATAAAATTTGAGCAAAATTCTTTCTTAAAGAAAATATGGTAGTAGATTAGTGAATAATAGCTTTTTGTACAAAGGAGCTGGAACAATGAACTTGCTTTGAAATGGGTTTTTTTCCCATTTTGCTGGTGAGTGCTGCGCTGCCTAGAAGCTCTGCCCTGCTCCCTTTTTTTGTTTTGTTTTGTTTTGTTTTTGAGTTGGAGTCTCACTCTGTTGACCAGGCTGGAGTGCAGTGCCACACTCACAACCACCCCAGTGTCAACCTGCTGGGCTCCGGCAATCCGTTCACCTCAGCCTTCCAAGTAGCCAGAACTACAGGCAAGCGCTACCATGCCCAGCTAATTTTATTTTTATTGTAGAGATGAGGTCTCACCAAGTTATCTAGGGTGGTCTCGAACCCACAGGCTCAGGCAATCCACTCAACTCGGCCTCCCAAAGTGCTGGGATTACAGGCTGAGCCACCAAGCCTGGCCTCTGCCCTGCTCTTAAAGGAGAAACTTTCAGATCTTGTTCCTCTTTGAGTTAAGTAAGCCCTCTTCTGGTAGGGCTGAGGCTGCGGTGGCCATGAGCATGCCATTGCACACCAACCTGGGCAACAGAGTGAGACTCCAACTAAAAAATAAATAAATAAATAAAAATAATCACCACTTACTGGATACCTATGACTTATCCATCACTGTACCAGGTGCTCTATTTGTTTATTATTTTTGAGTCAGAGTCTCACTCTGTCACCCAGACTGGAATATAATCGCACAACCATGGCTACTCCAGCCTCAACCTGCTGGACTCAGACAGTCCTTCCACCTTGATCTTCCAAGTAGCTGGAACTATAGGCATGCACAACCATACCTGACTAATTTTGTTCTTTATTGTAGAGACGAGGTCTTGCCAAGTTGTCCAGGCTGGTCTTGAACCCCTGGGCTCAGTCCTCTCGCCTCCACCTCCCAAAGTGCTGGGATTACAGATGTGAGCTACCACACCCAGCCTTGTTCTAGATACTTCAATAATAATAATAACAGTTATTGAGCTTTTACTGTGTGCCAAATGACTTACATATATTCTCTCATTCAATTGCCACTATAATTCAGAGAAGTAATTTTCAGTGGTGTGCTAGTAAACCAACTCTCAGAGAGAGACAGAAAGACAAGAAGAAAAAGAAGAGGAGGTGGATGGAGGGCGGAATGAAGAGAAGGAATGGGAATGTGGGGAGTGAAAAAGGGGAGACTTGATTTGTGGTGTTTGCCAGTTTATATTGTGTATACATTACTTATTCCTACTGTGACTGATTTCAAGCTACCAATGGTTTCCTGAATATTTAACAACCAGCAAGCTAGTATCAGCTGGATACAACATACTGTTTCTTTCTTTCTTTTTTTTTTGAGTTGGTGTCTCACTCTGTCACCCAGACTGGAGTGCAGTGCCACTGCAGCCTCGACCTGCTGGGCTCTGGCGATCCTTCCACCTCAACCTTCCAAGTAGCTGGAACTATAGGCGCGCACTACCATACTCGGCTAATTTTTGATTTATTGTAGAGATGAGGTCTCGCCAAGTTGCCCAGGCAGGTCTCGAACCCGCAATCCACTCACCTCAGCCTCCCAAAGCACTGGGATTACAGGCTGTGCCACCGAGCCCGGCCCAACATACTGTTTCATAGACCAGAGAATGGTGACTCAGGTGAAGTGACTTACCCCAAGGACGCACAGCCAGAAAGGCAGAACTGGGACAGTGGCCCAGGAATGTTCACAGTGACTGGCAGCCCCATTCTTTAGGGCAGTCACGGGATGTTTGCGTACATCTGTGAACATGGAGAGTCAAGGACAAAAAAGAACCAGGGGGCTGTTTCAGAGGTAGGAGTTGCAGTGGAAGGAGCAAGAGCACTGACTTCCAGTGGTACAGGGTTCAAGTCTTGCCTTACCTTACCAGTGGCATGATCTTGAGTGAACCCTTCTCTTTCAACCTCAGTGTCCCATTTATCAAAGAGGAATCATGACAGTACCCACCTCCAAGGGCGGACATGCCAGAAATAAGTTGTGTAAATCGCCTGTCAAACAGCAGGCACTTAACGTTCAGGGCTCCTGGCCTTATAGGAAATTCTCAGGAAGGCTCAGAGAGGAAAACCTCCCTTTCCAAGATGGAATAAGAGAGGAACTGGAGGGACTGAGTGCTTAGGAGCCTGAGTGAGAGGTTAGGACACACTCTAAGTGCAAATGACCCAGCCAGAGGGTGTGGGCAAAGGGATACCCTTTGGCTGACAGCAACCTCAGGTCTCTTCCCTGTTCTTTGTTTTTCAGCTAGCGCTATCATAGGAATCATATTCATCAAAGAAAAATGGAAACCTAAAGACTTTCTGAGTAAGTTCAGTGATTCGAGCCGTTCTTAATTCTCTTTTCATGCTTTTATTCTTTATAAAACCAACCCATCCCAATTCAGAGATCACCTGCCTCCTGTTCCCCTCTGTGGTTCTAGATTCTACCCTCAACAGGTTCCTGAGAACTGGGTTTTAAAATCAGTAGTTCCCAGTCTAGCTACACATCAGCGTCATCTGTGAGACTTTTAGATGTGGACTTTCATTTATTCTGTTTGATCAACATTGAGTGTCTATGACCGGGATTTTAGAAGGCTCAGTAAAAGACTCCTTTTTCCCCTGAGTTCTAACACAGTGGGAGCCAAACACAGGAGATAAGAAGTTGTGCTTTATTACCTTTAAAAGCTAGGTTAGAGCGTGCAGCTTGATGTGCAACCATATGAACCTGGTCACACTCTCCCCCTAAGACACTCTCTAGTCCCAGTTAGACCTTGGACCAGTCCCCCAAAGAAACACTTGGGTTTACAGAGTAGAGACATTTACCCAGAATTATTGTGTCACATGGTTTAGGGTAGAGAAGGGTGAAAAACGATCAAAGCCTTCATGTTTAATTTAAAAAAAAAAATTAGCTCCATCCAATTAAGAAATGTAGACCAATGGGACAAAATACAGAAGTGTCTCTCTTATGGAGGTCCATCTACATGGAAACCCAAGGAGTGGGGAAGAAGTGTTCCCTCTAAAACAGTTACTAAACGCCATGCTCTGTTGTAGGTCCCAGAAATTCAGCAGTAGGAAAAGTAAGACTCCTGCTGTCATGGAGATTACAGTTGTGTATGTATGTGTCTATATGTATTGGGAGAGATACAGTAAATGAGTGAATAACTAAATAAAATAACCTTAGGTTGTAGTGATTACCTCAGAGGAAATAGAATGCTTTTGGTGGGGGATTGAGGAGGTAGGGACTTTTTTTCTAGACTAGTCAGGGTGAGACGCTCTGGAAAGGTGATATTTGAGCCCAGTCCCAGATAATGCTACAGAGACTGCCATTCGCAGGTCTACGGACAGAGTGTTCCACATAAAGAGGGTAGCAGGTGCAAAGACCCTGAGGCAGAAATAAGCTTGGTGTGTCTGGCATCAGTAAGGCCACCATAACTGGAGGGTAAAGAGAGGGAGATGAGAAAAGTGTGGAGGACTGGACAGTGGAAGGCCTTGTGACCCATGCTAAGGAGTTGAAAAGTGACATGATGAGGGGCCCAGGCTCTGTCCTTAGAGATTCTGAGGTCTGGGCCTGGACGTTGACATTCTTAAAAAACTCTCAGTGGAATATATACTGATGTCTACAACTTGCTTTGAAATGCAGAAAGAAATAAGATGGATGAATGAATGGATAGAGGAATGGAACAATAGATATGTGATAAAGCAAGCATAATAAAGTGTCCGTTTAGAATCTAGATGATGGGGCTATGGGGGAACACTACACAACTCTTTCAACTTTGTCTAAAAAACTTTAAAACAGAATTTCCAGGAGAGGAAACTCCCGAGATGTTGTGGATGCACAGCCAGACTTGGGAACCACTGTTCTGAATCATTGTATAGAATAAGATCAGGGTGGGGCCAGGAGGCCAAACTAGAAAGGAATCTTTCTCCAAAAGAAGCAGAACTGGAGGCTTTGGAGCTATTGCCAAGAAGACCGAAAGGCTTAGACGAATTTGCAGGTGGTGGGGAGAACTCTGGACTAGTTCCGAGAGGGTTGCATCCTTTCCAGGGACGTGCTAGGTGTCCTGGGATGAGAACCATGCTTGTACAAGTAGTGCCCTTCCATGACTTAGACAGAGATGGCCCCTCTGGGCATCTGTAGCTTTGTGGGCACAAGTCTTGGTGAGCAGAGCATGAGGTGGATTTTTAACCTTTCTCATCCCCTTGGGCAGTTACTTTTGTGTAGGGTAGCTGTACATGGTTGCCTTGCCTAAAGGTTCGTTAAATTGAGCAAACATTCACCCCGTGCTGTACCTATGCGGGGCACCGTAGGTGTGGAGGTGAGTAAGATCCATCCCTGCCTGAAGAAAATGTAAGACAACAGGCTTACTCTGTGGAGGTCAGCCATAGTTCATTCATTCATTGAACAGCCACTTTTTGAGCACCTCCTACATTTATGAGGCCTAGTACTGAGGATAAAAATAAGACATCTAATATGGCATCACACTTTCTGGAGTCAGTATGGTGAAATAGGTATAGTTAGTTCTATCCCAGAAAAATCCAGTGGCCTATGGTCACCGTAGGAGCAGCTCAGAGCTCTCAGCCCTTTTCAGCTTGCCTGGTTCTGGGCTAGACCAGAAGCAGCTTTTCACCAACCCTACAGGATCTCAGGGCAAAGGCCAGAGGGCTCTTGTCTTTACCCAGGAGCATGCCTTCTGGGCCACACAGTCTCTGACAGGGCTGTGGGATAGAATGTTGATAGTATTTAGATAGTTAGTTCCCTTGGGAGTAAGTTAAATAACCAGTTGGAAAGGATGTGATTTTTTTAAAGGTGTGTTAGGCTCTAAAGGTTTGCTTGTGATGTTTTGTTTTATTTTTTTTAGTTTACCCATAAAGGGATTCTAGCTTTACAATGTTGCTTGTAAAATGCACGTTAAAGTCCCTGTGTGATGCCAGCATGGCTAAAAGGAAAAAGACAAATGTAAGTGTTGACAAGGATACAACCAGAACACTTTACTGGTGGAAGCATAAATTGGTACAACTACTTGAAAAACCATTTGACGGTAACCACCAAACTGAACAGTCACATATCCTGCAACCCAGGAATTCCACTCCTTGTTTTATACCCAATGGGAGTGCGTACACGTGTTTCCCAAATGACGTGTACAAGAATGCTCATAGCAATGCTATTTTTTATAACCCAAGACTAGAGACTCATCCAATGCCCATAACAGTAAAATGGACACATTGTGTTGTATTCCCACAATGTGTCCCTGGACACATTGAGAATGAATGAACTGTTGCTACCTGCCACAGCACAGATGAATCTCACAAACACAGTGTGGAATGAACACGGGCACAAGAGGTCATACTGTATGGGTCCATTTATATACAGCAAAAAGCGGGTAAAACTGTCAGTGCTGTTAGAAGTCAAAATAGTATTGCCCTGGGGGTGGGGTGTAGGACTTGGAAAGGAGCCCCATGAGGAATTTCAGGGTCCTGCTAACTTCAGAGTTCTCTTTCTTGATCTAGGAGCTGGTTTTATGGATGTATTCACTTAGTGAGAACTCATCGAACCCTTTTTGTATGCATGCTACACTTTATTAATTTTTTAACATTAAGTGTTTTTTCTAAAAAATAGCATTAAGAAAGATAGTTTATTTTGTAAAGAAAAACAAAAAGTACAAACAATAACAGGTCACAGCATGTTGCCCAAGAGTTCCATTCTTCTGTTGCTGAAAGTACGTACTGCATGTCTGGGCTTCTCCTGTCACGAGTTCTGTGATGGCCTCTCCTCCCTGCAGGGCGCTATGTCTTATCCTTTGTTGGCTGCGGTTTGGCTGTCGTGGGTACCTACCTGTTGGTGACATTCGCACCCAACAATCATGAGAAGATGACAGGCGAGAACGTCACCAGGCACCTTGTGAGCTGGCCTTTCCTTTTGTACATGGTAAGAGAAGTCTCCAGTCCTTCTGCTTGAGATGGTGGGAGGGGGATCAAGCCCTAGAAACCAGAAACCTGAGTACTCAGTAATAGGGGATTCCCATGAATGGTGGCATGTTTTACCAGCACTGAAGACCATGCCTGTGGAGCGTACACAGTTCATGGGGAAATACTTATTTCATTTATGTCTTGAGGAATGTCTAAAACCATATGTAGTATGATGCCCATTGTATTTTTTAGAGGTATTGTATAGGTTTGTACATATACTATATCTATGAAGGACTAGATGGAAAAACAAATTCTATCAGTAAGTATCTCTGGGAGATGGAATTATGACTCAGTTTTTATTTCCTCTTCATCTCTCTCTATTGTCCAAAATTTCTATGGTGATCACTTAAAACTTTTTTTTTTGAGTTGGAGTCTCACTCTGTCATCCAGGCTGGAGTGCAGTGGCACTCTCATGGCCACCCCAGCATCGACCTGCTGGGCCCCAGCGATCCTTCCATTTCAGCCTTCCAAGTAGCTGGAACTACAGGTGCGCACTACCACACCTAGCTAATTTTTGATTTATTGTAGAGATGAGGCCTCACCAAGTTGCCCGGGCTGGTATTCAAGTGCTGGGATTACAGGCTGAGCCACCGAGCCCGGTCGATCATTTAAAACTTTTATGGCAAGGGAAAAAAAGTTAAAATTATAAATAATTTAAGAATGTTATTTTTCCCCCAGTATCACATAGCTCATAGAAGCTGATGGAAACCCAACCAGAACTAGAAATGGGAAACTTTGTCTCCTAGGCCCCCCCCACCCCCAGCCAGAGCTCAGTCCTCTGCCCTAATTATACCCTTTTAGGACTGCAAATAAACTGCTTAAGGAATACATCTAATATTTGATAAAGCTACTGGTATATTCTTGTTCCATGCCCTCCACTGTGCTAAGCGAGTTTTCATGTGTCATCTCTGATTTTCTCAACATCCCTGGTTAAGTATTTTTCTCTCCATTTTGTGAGTGAGAAAATAGGAGCTCTGAGAGGTTGCTGACCTGCTCAGAGTCTATGGGAGCAGAGCTGGACATGCAGGCCGCACCAACCTAGCCTCAGGTGCTACCTTCCAAAGGTGTTCACTGTTTTGTCCTGACAGGAGCAGCCTGGGCCCCTGATTGAGTCTGGAGGCCCCACGGCATCCCTTTCCTCAGATTACCCATAAGGCACGGGATCAATTTCCCTAAGATTGGGGCTGTGTCATTCCCATCCAGCAGCCGGCCCCAAAGTTTACATGTGGGCATGGAGAAATGTCCACAGGATACAGCCACAGACCCACCTCCTTGGACAAAGCTTTACCCCAGGGCAGGCTGTTCACTCAGGGGTTCCTGGGCTCAAATCCTTTCTTGTGTCATATGACCTTGGCCAAGCCCTCTTTTCCTTCTCTGCTTCCCTTCCTGTGAGATGGCCAGAACCCCTGGACCTAGGGTATTATTGGGAGATGCAGGAAATAGCAAGTAAATCACCCAACACATGGTCGATGCTCAGTGAACAATTCTGTTGTCTTACTTCATGTCTATGAGGCAGTGCTGCCAGCTGGAAAGATTTGGCCAAACCAAATTCATTCAGTATTTATTCAGTGTTTGCTGTGTGCCCGACACTGCAGGTATAAAAAAATAAATGAAAGCCAGGCATGGTGGCTCATACCTGCAAGTAATCCTAGCACTTTGAGAGGCAGAGGTAAGAGAATTGCCTGAGTCCAGAAGTTCAAGACCTGCCAGGGCAACTTGGTGAGACCTTGTCTCTATAATAAATCAAAAAATTAGCCAGGCATGGTGGCACGTGCCTGTGGGTCCAGCTGCTTGGAAGGCTGGACAGAAGGATCGCCTGAGCCCAGCAGGTCAAGGCTGCGGTGGCTGTGCGCATGCCACTGCACCCCAGCCTGGGCGGCAGAGTGGGACTATGACTCAATAATAAATAAATAAATGAGACATGCGCCCAGAACTCAGGGACTATCGGGAAGTATCATCATAGGCGCAGTCATCTCACGATATGGTGCCAGGTGCTATTCCAGCTTTCATTTGAGAATCACAACAAATCATCATGAAGAATGGCTGAGATATCAGGACCCTCCCCCCCCAATGCTTGCACAATGGTTGGAATGTGGATGAAGGACTTCACATCTGCTTGCTAGATCATTCTGCGCAATTCAAGATAATTATGACAACTTCCTAAAACATTAAGACTGTTTATGGTACCTAAAAATGTCCCCATATAAAATTGTGCATCGACAGTGGTGACAGCCAGATAAAATATGTATTCACTGGAACAAAGACAAGGAAGAAACAGGGGGAAATGAAAGCAGCTGTGTTTTATGGTCCCTAATTAGAAGAAATGGTTCAAATTTTTCAAAACGCTCATTAATGTTTTGGCGTTGGTTTTTATTCTAAATAAACATCAAGAAGGGGGTTGGGATAGGCATACAGGGCCAAGCTACTGTCAGAGTTTTCTGCCTTAGTTTCACTGGGTGCTGGGCTGGCTTACCTCCTTGGAAACTATTGCCAGATATCTGGGCTTTATGGGGTTGAGAGGACCAATTGTTGAGTGAGGGGGGAAGCGTTTCAAACTCAGATGTGCCATTGTCTCATAGTAAGATACTACTGGACTGAGCACCTTCTAAACATCAGACTCTGAGCCTTCCTCCCATCTTCAAACAATGTAGCCTAGTGGGGAAGTGCATGGGCCTGGGAGGTAGACTGTCCAAGTTCAAATCCCACTGTGCCATTCACTAACTTGGGATTATGACAGTACCTGCCTCATAGATTTATTGTGCTGATGTAGGGAGTTTAGTGTAGATAAAATGCTTAGAACAATGCCTGGCATACAGTGAAAGTGCATTAAGTATAAGCTATGATTATGGGTTTGGAAAGCAAGAATTATTCTATTCCTGTTTCACAGAGGAGGTAGCTAAGGTTTAGAGAAGTTAAGCAATTTGCCCAAGATCACACAACTAGTTGAGAGGCAGAGTTCAAACCCAGGTCTCCCTGACTCCAAATGGCTTCTTCCTTTCTACTCTGAAGCCTGCCACATCAGAGGCTTGGTTGGGGCAAGGAGAATGTATACTTATATGCTTAACCAAAGAGTTTGGTGAACAAGCGACTCCCTCTTGAGCTAACCTCTGTTTTGGGGGAGTTGTTTTTTGGGGGTTTCTTGAGTTGGTGTCTCACTGCATCACCCAGGCTGGAGTGCAGTGGCACACTCACAGCTACCCCAACATCAACCTGCTGGACTCTGGAGATCCTTCTACCTCAGCCTTCCAAGTAGCTAGAACTATAGCCATACACTAATTTTTTTTTTTTTTTTAATTGCAGAAACGAGGTCTCACCATGTTGCCCAGACTAGTCTCAAACCCACTGACTCAGGCAGTCCTCTCACCTGGGCCTCCCAAAATGCTGGGATTACTTGAGCCACTGCGCCCAGCCTGATCCCCTGTTTTAATGGGGATACCCATGGAGCCGTGAAGTGGGAAGAGGCCATCTCAGCCTGATGAATCGTGACCATCTGAGACAGGGCAGATGGGAGACCAGCACATCAACCTCAGGGCTTTAGCTTGAGATGAACGGGGCCTCCCCAATAACCCGGAAGTTAGTCAGGTCCCTTTCCCACTGGATATCTCTCAGTAGTTCAATTCTCTTTCAACTCCAAGGGTCTGTGGCTGATGAGATCAGCTGCCCAAGCTCGGGCTGGCCTGCCAGTCTCTCTCTCTGGTCTCCATGGTCTCCTGCCTCTGCTTTCCATAGCTCGTGGAGATCATCCTGTTCTGCCTGCTGCTGTACTTCTACAAGGAGAAGAATGCCAACAACATAGTCGTGATTCTCCTCCTGGTGGCGCTACTCGGTAAGTGGGCATCTGGGCGACTGGCTTTTGCCAGCACCAAGCAGCACCAAAGGGAATGTGGGTTTTGTTTGCAGAGCTATGACATCTGGATGCAGAAGCTGTCAGCAGCTGTGGGGAGCTTGGTCCCTGCTGACCGGAGACAAGCCCCATCCTTAGGGAGCCCCTGTACTGTAGGGGGAAATGGCAGTAAGCAGGTAGCCAGATTCATAGGTAATATAAGTTAAAGGAAAAGCAATTCCAAGGAGGAAGAGCAAGGGTGAGGTGAGCACTGAGGCTGTTTCAGAGAAGGCAGCCGTCAAACCAGTTTCAAGGACTAAGCCCTGCAGTGGCTTTCCCCATCTAACTCCCTGCATTTCCCTGAGGCTCCCACCCACCCTTGTCCCCCATCTGCAGGCTCCATGACGGTGGTGACAGTCAAGGCCGTGGCCGGGATGCTTGTCTTGTCTATTCAAGGGAACCTGCAGCTCGACTACCCCATCTTCTATGTGATGTTTGTGTGCATGGTGGCAACTGCTGTCTATCAGGCCGCGTGAGTTGCAAGCCCTTTTCCTGTGGATCCTTACCATTCGAGTCTCTTCCATCTTGGGGGCCTAGGACATGGGCTTATAAAGCCATAGGGAAGCAGACCATTTGGATTTCCAGGATTTTGCATCCAGCATTGGAGGGGAGGGGTTACCAACTTGCTGAATAGTCACGTGGAGGGGTTCTGCCCCACTGGAAAGACGGAGCCAGAAGTGGATGTGTTTCTCTAGGACAGGCACCCATTTCGGGGACCTAGGAAGCTTTGCCATCCCCAAGAAGCACCTACTTGTCTGCTGGGTGGAAAAATCTCACCCCCAAATCCTCCCAAGAGGGGCGAAGCGCCCCTCCTCTCTCTAGGCATAACGTTAAAGAAACAGCAGCAGCATTGAGGGCAGGGCCTGCACCTTGTTTGTCTGGGTCCTGGTGCCTGGCGGAGGGCCCAGTAGGAGGGGGCACTCCTGGAATATTGCAAGTACAAACCTGCCTAAGTACGCAGGACTCAAGGGTGCACGAGGCTGGCTCAGCCTGGGAAGCTTGGGCTCCAGACTCAGACCTGGACTCTGCCTGCCAACCACGTGGCTTCCAGGGAGCTTAGGAGCAGCTGCTGCTGACTGGGTGCTTAGCGTGAGCCCCACTCCATCCTGAGTGCTTTATGGTCCTTACAGTACCCCTTTGAGGTAGATGATATTACCCCTACTTTGCATATGAGGAACTGAGGCAAAGAGAGGACAAGACGCTAGGAGATGGCGGAGCTGAGATTTGAACCCAGGCATCTGGCACCCTGGCCCATGCCCTCTTCCCTCTGCTCTGCTGCCTCAGCTTCTTTGAAACTAAGTTCTTTGTCTGCAAATGGGATCAACAACAGTCCTGGCCAGGTTTGGTGGCTCACACCTGTAATTCTAGGACTTTGGAAGGCCAAGGCAGAAGAATCACTTGAGGCCAGGAGTTCGAAACCAGCCTGGGCAACAAAGCAAGACCCCATCTGCACAAAAAACAGAAAAATTTCCTGGTAGTGTGTACCTACAATCCCAGCTATTTGGGAGGCTGAAGCAGAAGGATCACTTGAGCGCAGGAGTTTGAGCCGTGGTAAGCTGAGATCATGCCACTGCACTCCAGCCTAAACCTTGACTCAAAACAAATCAACATGCATAAAAGAACAGTTCCAATCCAAGAGAATCACATAAAACTCTTAGGAGAACGTCCCTAGGATAATATCTCGTAAACGTGAGCAGCTTCTATGATTGTAATCCTTAGTGTTATTATCTTGATTATTATTATTCTTAGTCCCACTACCATTCCAGTTATCTCCAGGGAGCCCCTGCCAGTTCGAGGCTCTGTGCTGAGCATGCAGGGGTTTCAAAAATGACTCACAAGCCGGGCTCGGTGGCTCAGCCTGTAATCCCGTGCCTTTGGGAGGCTGAGGTGAGTGGATTGCCTGAGCCCGCGGGTTCGAGACCCACGTGGGCAGTGAGACCTCATCTCTACAATAAATCAAAAAATCAGCCGGGCATGGTAGCAGCGCGCCTGTAATTCCGGCTACTCGGAAGGCTGAAGCGGAAGGATTGCCGGAGCCCAGTGGGTCGAGGCTGTGGTGGCTGGGAGCGGCCACTGCACTCCAGTCTGGGTGACAGAGTGAGACTCCAACTCAAAAAAAAAAAAAAATGACTCACATGTCTCACCTACCTCCTCAGGAGCTTCTTACTCACCAACAGGTAGAGCCCACTGAGGGCCCTTAGCACACAGATGAGGGTAGGTGCTGCCCTCAGGTTATTTACAGCCCTGGTGGGAACAGCTAGTAAACAGATGATGACAGTCCAGCCAGGCGTGGTGGCAGGAGGATTACTTGAGCCCAGGAGCTCAAGGCTGCAGTGAGCTACAATTACACCATTGCATACCAACCTGGAAACAGAATGAGACACTGTCTCTGTAAAATACTGATAAGTAAATACAAACAACTGAGTGGAGTGATGAGCATATTATGGAGTAAGCAACTATGCAATGATTGCTAAAATACTACACAGAGAAAGGATAAAGAATATATTCTGAAATGGGGATATTGTTTATTGTAGATGGAGGTGAGGAGGAACTCCAATTCTCTCTCTTTTTTTCTGTATTTATTGCAGTGATCACATTATTTCAAAATAAGAAAATGTGTTCAAAAGAATAATGACAACACTAGGCAGAATGTGATAAGCACTGTAAGAGTTTCTTGAGGGGTGTGTAAGAGATCCAGGCATGGCTCTTTTAGGAGTGAGGAGAAGGACATTTCAGGTGGTGAGGACCATGTGATCAAAGGTGTGAGACCAGGAGGGAAGCGGGGACGGACATCAGACTGTGTGTCTGGGGGGAGAGTGGGAGCCAAGTGTCACCCCCAGACCAGGACGCACGGTGTCCTGTCACATGAGGGTGGCATTTTTATAAACCCAAGGAATATTCCTTCATGCACCATTTTCATGTTTCAAACCAAAGCCTTTCCTGCGTCCCCACAGTCCACTGACTGTTGTGCTTTTGTATTGAAGGTTTTTGAGTCAAGCCTCACAGATGTACGACTCCTCTTTGATTGCCAGTGTGGGTTACATTCTGTCCACAACTGTCGCTATCACAGCAGGTAAGGGTGGCTGATTGCCAGACTTCTGTCTTCTACCTTAGCAGCAGGGGTATCATTCCGGGTAGAGGGAGGGGGCGCTACATCTGTCAGTCAACTGATTCTGCTCACTGTTTCTGCCCCAGAATTGCATATGGTTTCATGGAGAATGTGCAGGGTTTAAAGCCAGAGAAACCTGGGTGGTTTACATCACAGCACAGACACACACTAACTGTGTGGCTTTGGAAAAATCAGCCTCTTAGAGCCTCAGTCCGACATTTATAAAACAGGAGCAATAATACCTAGAATTGCAATATGTCTCATCCAGATGTCTCCCACCCCATACTGCACACGCTTTAGCAATTTTTACCATCCTTTGCTAGCTTCACAAACCCCACTGCCAAGGGACCCCAGGTCTCTTCTGCATGATGTTCAGAGATCATAGGTATGGAAACTTTGGCACCATCACAGATGCTCAGCAAGTGATCGTTAGTATTATAGTCCCCTTTTCTTCTATTCCACTTCTAAATCACTTTTTCATTTTCTTTCTGAGGTGGCTTCAGAGGCTGCAATCACAGCAAAGAATTTGTGGTTTTTTAAAAATTTTATTTGTTCGTTTATTTTTGAGTTGGGGGTCTCACTCTCTCACCCAGGCTGGAGTTCAGTGGCATGACCACGACTCACTGCAGCCTCAACCTTCTAGGCTCAAGCGATCCTTCCACCTCAGCCTCCCAGATAGATGGGACTACAGGTGTGTTTTAATTTTTTGTAGAGACCAGGTCTCATTATGTTGCCCAGTTTTGAACTTCTGGCCTCAGGCATTTCTCCCACCTTGGCCTCCCAAAGTACTGGGATTACAGGTGTGAGCTGCCAAGCCCGGCCTGTTTGTTTTTTAAATGGCAATTGTGACTAAAGTCTTTAGAGTAAAAAATTCAATAAGAAACAAGTGCTTTCCTTTGAAGAAGGCTTGGCGCTCTGTGAAACCCCATGATCTGCCAAACACTTTAGACAAGTGGTCCCCAGTTCCCCTTCACAGAGGTAGTGACAAGGGGCGTACAGTCTGTCAGATCCTGTGCTGTGAGCAGCACCAGGGACTGTGGGGCATTGACCCAGAGCAGCCAGAAGTTAAGCTAAGTCATGGTCATGAACCAGAGAAGTGTGAAGACCTGTCAAGATTGAAAGGAATAGCAAACGCTATGGTTGGGTCAGAAGTAGAAGTCAAGGTAGGGAATCAGGAGCTCAGAATATGGCGTGCGTCCCATGGAGGTGAGAGGCTTCCTGATAGGGGCTGACTCAGAGCAGGGCAGCAGGCCCACGCCACCCCATGCTAAGGCAAGACCTGCAGGTATCTGCTGGCCACATGAGGGTAGAAAGCTCTAACAATGGAATCACACAACCTTGTTTACCCATCCTAAGAAGGAAGGGAAAGGAGTGCATGCAAAAACCAGTAAGTAAAGTCTGTGGTTCCGTTGGTAGTAGTGTTCCACTGCTGCTTTCCTGGATTGATCCTGTACTGTGGTTATAGAAGATAGGACTGGAGAAGCTGGAGGGAAGGTGCATGGGGATCCTGCAATATATCCGTGAGTCTAATATTATCCCAAAATAAAACTTAAAAAAGAAAATGGAGCTCAGACAGACCTAAGGCGGGGGGGTGGGGAGAAGACAACCTACCCCCCCCAATGACTTTTATTCCATTCATCTAATAATTTAGTAGGCACCGTCATAATATTTTTGATCATGTGGTTTCCTGCGGGAAAGAGTTTAGCCAAGTCTTACACTGGCCAGTGGGTGGTTTGAAAACAGTTTGCCGGTCTTTTCTATTGTTTGCTGCTGCAGGTGCAATCTTTTACCTGGACTTCATCGGGGAGGATGTGCTGCACATCTGCATGTTTGCGCTGGGGTGAGTTCCAGCCTCTTGCTGGCCCCCGGGCGTTGCGTGTGGCGTTCTGGTGGGCTGTCCCTCTCTCCCCCATATTGCTGCGACTGCATGATCCTTTAGACCCAGGGGAACTGCTGGGATTTGGAACTTTGTCCCCAGAGGTGAGCTTTCTATTGTCCCCAGAGGTGAGCTTTCTTCTCCTTTCATCTCTTTGGGGCTTTAATCTTCTAAAATAAATTCTTCAGATGTAAGAAATGCACATTGAAGGTAATGAGATACCATCATTTTGCAAAGTCAAACAGGATTGGTAGTAGTCTACACTGGCAAGAACACGATGAGACCGGCTCATTCCCATGCTGTTATCATGTTTTAATGTGGGAGGACAATTTGGCAATGTCAATAAAAAACTAAAATGAGCCTACTTTTTGATACAGCATTCCTTTTCAACATTAATCTTGGAAAAAATACTTCAATGGGGGCACAAATATACGGGTATGCAGCTATATATTAATTATTACATTTTAGTTGTATAAGCAAACAACTAGAAGCAACAAAAATACCCAATAGTAGAACATGGGTTAAAAGAAATTATGGCATATCCAGAAGATAATGCAGCATGCTGCCATTTTGAAAACTTGGGGCCAGCCTGTGGGTGTTGACACAGAACCATGTCTAGAACACATTGATCCAAAAGTCACAAACTTTGTAAAGGGTACACGAAAATAGTGCAGGATCCCCATGCACCCTCCCTCCAGCTTCCCCAGTCCTGTCTTCCATAACCACATTGCATGCTCAAACCAGGAAAGCGGCAGTGAAACACTACCACCAATGACATTGACAAAATGACTTGTACATGAGTATTTATAGTCGCTTTATTCATAATGGGCCCAATTGGAGTCAGGCCAAATGTCTCTCAGCAGAAGAGTAGGGAGAAAGCTGTCATCTATTCAGAGGATGGATTCTACAGGACAATTAAAAATAATGAACTACTAATACATGCAAGATGAATCTTAAAAGCATTTTATCAGATGAAAGAAACCAGGCCTAAAAGAGTACATACCATATGATTTATTTTACATGAGTTCAAGGGTACACAAATCTAATCTGTGGTGAGAGAAGTCAGCTTAGTGGCTGCCTTTGGGGAAAGGTTGGCAGACATTGAGAAAGGGCACTCGAAAACTCTCAGAGGGGGGTGGAAATATTTTCTATCTTGACCTGGGTGGTGATTACACAAGTAAAATTCATCCAGCTCATATATTTAGGGTTTGTGCCTTTTACTATATGTAATTATACCTCAATTTTAAGAAAATGTGCTTGTTATATAAGCTGTAGGGGAAAAAATATACTCTGGAAAAATAGACACCTATCTGGTGAGTGGGACCAGGAGTACGGGGACGTTCCAATCCCAAGTAAAAATCATACTTTCTATACTTTTGTAGTGATTGAAATGAACTAGTATCTTTTTCACAGAGTGATTTGAGTCCCTCCGGGTATATTCCCAGAAGAGGGATTGCTGAGTTGTATGGAAGGTCGATTTTTAGACCTTTTAGGGATTGCCACATTTTGTAAATAAAATTAAATTAAAAAGTAAAAAATAGAAAAAGAAATGAGCTACTTTAACTTTTTTTTTTTGAGTTGGATTCTCACTCTGTCACCCAGGCTGGAGCGTAGTGACACGCTGCTCACGGCCACCACAGCCTCGACCTGCTGGGCTCAGGTGATCCTTCCGCCTCAGCCTTCCAAGTAGCTGGAACCACAGGCATGTGCCACCATGGTTAACTTTTTTATTTATTATAGAGACGAGGTCTCACCAAGTTGCCCAGACTGGTCTTGAACCCCTGGTCTTAGGCTATCCTCTCACCCTCACCTCCCAAAGTGCTGGGATTACAGGTATGAGATACTGTGCCCAGCTTACTTTAACTTTTTAAAACTCATTTTTAAAGGCAAGGTGCTGAGAAAACTAGCTGAGTGGAAGTGAGAACCAGGAGATTCTCTTTATTCTGGGTGCGGCTTGTGGGGCGTGTGGGGTCCTAGGGCTGCTTGGGCTGTGGGTGTTTCACTTGCATCAGCCCCAGTCCTCTCAGGGCCTGGAGCCACCTCTGGAGCCCGCATACTTCCCACTGACCTCTTTCTCCTTCCCTGGGGTTGAAAGTCTTCCCCCTGACCTCGCCTCTGAACTTCATCCTCTTCCTCTCTCATCTCCACTCCCCAGGTGCCTCATCGCGTTTTTGGGTGTCTTCCTGATCACACGTAACAAGAAGAAGGCCACTCCGTTTGAGCCCTACATTTCCATGGACGCCATGCCAGGTAACGCTAAAACCGTGGGTCTGGCTGACCATCCACAGAGCGTGACTGCTCCTTCCTGTTTAACAAGAGACAACCAACTGCTGTTCCGTGCCTTTATGGTGTGACTGTTCTCTTGCTGTCTTTTTTCTTTCTTAATTTTTTAAAATCTTGAGCCGAAAAGGAAGTCAATGGCCAAGGCAACTTGGTTGGTTTTGAGCACATCGTGCCAGTTCCCATGTCTATTTTGAGATCTTTTGAAGAAAATCCTGATTCACACTCGGTATAATTATGATCTGCAGCACCAGGCTCCATGCCTTCAGATGGAAAAATCCACTCATCAAATTGGAATGGAAAGATCAGAGAGGGAAAGGGAAATAGGATGAGTGAAATTAAAATACTATAACCTCACTCGTTGGACTCTACAAGGGAGTGGATTGTTCTGGAAAGCCTAATTTCCCAGGAAGCTTAGTGTTCTTACCCAGAAACACAAACTTAAATTACAGTAACATAAACATGTCAATCAGCCAAATACTGTACAATAGGAAGTGGTGGGGTCTGTGGCGAACTAGAGAGTGCTTGTCTAGCCTAAAGAGATTCAGATTTGAAAAGCTAAGACATTGGACCAGCCCCAGTCCTAAATTCTGCTGACCTCAATTCTGTAGGTCACCGTGACCATTAGCCTTCACACTTGATCTCAAGATTAATTTTTATTTTAAGTATACAAGATGGCCCTCTCTCCAAAACATAATGTCCTATCTATCCTTCCCTAACACAGTCTAATGAACAAAATAGAAACACACTGATAGCCTAGAACACACTGCTTCATTGAGAGCAATTTTTATGCCATAATGCTGTGATGCCAGGATGTGCTCAGGGCTGACTGGGGTGCTCCTACATTAAATGGCCCCAGGGTTTGTGTGTCTCCTTTTCATATTATTTCCTCCTCTCTCGCTCTTAAGCTGTTGTCTGTCATTCTTACTGTTTATAGTCACTCCATGTCAACCTTCTCATCCGACCCAGCTTGTTCAAATCATGTATAAAATCAAAATGAATGAGCTCTGAGTTGGGGGCCCAAGGTTTCTCCTAGGAGTTAAGTGCATGAGCTCTAGTGCATGGACTTTTTAAACGTCTAATCTGGCTGCTCAGATGCCTTTTTTGCTTACTTCCTTGTTTCTCGGCTGTGTTCCGGATAGATGAGGGCGCTGGATAGCTGAATTCCAGATAGGTGAGGTGTCAACTCTGTGTGTGCAAGTATGTGTATGTATACGTGTGTCTGTGTGTTTATAAACTATGTATGTGTATATACCTATATAAATATTTGTATATACATATATACAGATGTGCTTTCTGGTGGAAAATAGAAGGTAACCTAAGGTAACCTTAGATACCAACATTCTGTGATCTGTTTGTGGATGTGGTTCTGGGCTTTCTTTTTGTACCTGTGACCAGTGGGAGGTCAGGTGTTGAAGAAAAGAGACCCGACCTGTTGTGGTGGCTTGTCAGGATCCTTCAGATCCGAGGTGTTCTGTACTATGAAGAACATGGGCTTGGGGTTTGGGTGTCATGGATTCAAATCCAGCTCCACCACCTGTCCTATGACCTCCCACGGTCTCTCATTCACCCCTGTAAATTGGGACTCCTTCTTTTGGGGTAGTGGGATCATATGTGTAAAGGTCTCTTGCACGGTGTCTGGGACATGGTAGATGCCTGGTTATATTTGGTTTCACTTCCCTTTTGTGTTAGAAAACTTTGAAAATTTCAAACACTCGTTTGACCTGGTGCCAGGTGGAGCATGCGGAATAAAACCGCTGGACCATCTCGGCTTATGTAGAAGTACTTTTCTATCTCCTCAGTTTCCTGGTCAGCATGAAGACCTTGCCTTTTGTCTACCTAGACTGGAAACTTCACAACAGACTGGTAGCTGCTGTTCAGGAGGCATTCAGATTCCATTTGGAGAGGGTTTAAGAGATTCCAGACACCGAAAAGATTGCTTAAACTTGAGAAAGAGAAAACAGCCCCTGATCTCCAGGAGCCAGCCCTGACCTCCTGTTGAACATAAACAAGTTCATAGGACACCAACCACATTCAAGGCCACTGTGTGACTGTGACAGCTCATGACACAGACAGGACCACTCTGTTAATCATGTCTGAACACAGATAAAACATGAACATTGTCTAAACCACAAAAAAGGATGAACCATCTCCTTGTCCTGGCTGGGATGAGAGACTGCTGCTCCTTTACCAGTCCCAGCTTTAGCTTCAATCTGGGCTTCTTTCCTTCCAGATCAGAATGACTGAGGTCCCCAGCTATAGAATTATCCCTGCTTTCTGGCAGCATCTAACCAAAACAAGGCCTCATTTCCTTGAACCTCCCCCAAATCACCTAACCCTAGCCCACATCCCATACTAAGTCCTCTCCAACCCCCTCCTGGTAGATACCTCAGAAATGTGTCCATCTCTCTCAGTGCCTCGAGTCAATAGACCCAAATGTGTTAGACTGAGGTGTGTTCCTGTTAGTCTTCGGCTGGAGGGCACTGAACAAAAAACACAGCTAAGCCACACCTGGGAGCTCTCCCCCCTGAGGAACAGGAACCCCTCAACTCCCCTGCCACCTCACCAACCCTTGCCAAATCCAAACCACAGACTCCCAAACTATGCCTTCAAAGGACCGTCAGCTAAGCTCATGCAGTATAGAGGCAAAGGCCTGGGTCTTCCCAGGCCATCTGCAGGGGGGATTAGATCACAGACTCTGGTGTCAGATCCTACCTCTGTCTCTCATCAGCTGTATAACTCTGGGCAAGTTACTTCACCTCTCTGAATCTCTGTTTTCTTATCTAGAAAATGAGGATTGGCCAGGTAGAGTGGCTCACGCCTGTAGTCCCAACGTTGTGGGCCAGGCACAGCGGCTCATGCCTGTAATCCCGGCACTTTAGGAGGTTGAGGTGAGAGGATTACTTGAGGCCAGGAGTTTGAGACTAGCCTGAGCAACGTAGCAAGACCCTGTCTCTGACAAAATAGATAAAAAAGCAAATGAAGATAGTAGTTCATCTCTGTCATAGGGTTACTTGAGGATTAAGTGCAGGTGTGTAGGGAGGCCACAAAGTATTAGGTTAAAAGTGTGGGCTTCAGAGTTGTAAAACCTAAGTTTGAACCTCGGCACTGCCACTTACTTGCTGTGTGATCTCAGGCAAGTTATTTCCCCTCCAGCTGCCTAATTCTCCTTATCAGTCACCTGAGGATTAAATGAGATAACTGTTTAGGACAGTGTCTGCCAATAACATGTTCCCATAGTCCCAGCCACTCGGGAGACTGAGGTGAGAAGATGACTTGAGCCAAGGAGCTCAAGACCAGCCTCAAAAAGACAAAGCTTTAGTCCAGTGCCCAGGGCATATTAAGCAGTTAGATGTCAGCTGTTATTATCATCAGAGTTTCACAAAGACACTTTGCATTCCACTTCTTATGACTAAGCCTGGAGACAGGAGAATTCGAAACATTTTAGTTCCTTAGCAAAAGAAGAATTGGTCTTAGCAGAAAGCAGGTACCCCCGACAAGGAGAATTGTAGAGGAGAAGGGTAAAGGAATTAAAGATTCAAGTCTTTGCCCTCAAGTGTAAGTAGGAATCCAACATCGGTGTGCCCAGAAGTAATAGGCAAAACCACACCTTCCACCACATGTGGACCAGGGATGCCAGTGTTGCAGGTCAGAACTCTCCCTCTGGGCATCATGATGCGTCTGTCACCTTCAGGTGCCCCTGAGGCAAAAATGGCCCACCTTTCCTCAACAGTATAACAAAGTGTCCCGGATCCTGATTTAATTCAGCAGTGAAGTGTTGGCATCTACCATGTTCAAAGCACAGCGCAAGTCCCCCTCCACCTGGGGCCCAGACATTCCCACCTCATTCTAGGCCAACTGCAAGTTCCCGTTGACAGTGGCTGGTCTGTGTACGTATTTCCTGAAGATCCATCCGCTGTTGCCTAGCAACTGTCACCGTTCTAGTGTATATTTATGGGTGTTCTCTTTTACATCTAAAGCATTCAGGAAATTGACAATGCACATGATTAGCTCCTGAGCTCTATAATTAGTCTGTGGCAGGAGAAAGGGAGATGTAGCCTCTGTGGCCCCCTTACCACATAATGACTTGGGGAAAATGGATTTCATTTCAGGTATGCAGAACATGCATGACAAGGGGATGACTGTCCAGCCTGACCTCAAAGCTTCTTTTTCCTACGGGGCCCTGGAAAACAACGACAACATTTCTGAGATCTATGCTCCAGCCACACTGCCAGTCATGCAAGAAGAACACAGCTCCAGAAGCGCCTACCGAGTCCTGGAGCACACCAAGAAGGAATGAGGCTCACCTCTCTCGATTTTATACCCGTTCAGGCCAGGCTGACAGTGGTTCAACCCTTAATTTTAAAACTTACCTTTCAAGTCTCATTTTTTGTAACTGAGAACTCTGCGAATGGAGATCTTGGAAAGCTTTTGTGTCTGGCAAAAGATATGTTATCTTGGTCTGGAAATTTCAAATAATGGAGGTGGGCAGATGAAAACAGTATTCCATGCGGGCGGTAGGGGATTCAGCCTCTGCCTGGCTTAGCCCAGCGGGATTTGGAAAGCCATCTTTCTGGCCTCAAGGATGATATCTGAGCTTCCTCAATCGACGGCCAAAGCTTGCCCATGCCAGAGCTAAGGTAGACAGAGACTCTGCCCTTACTTCCCAAATCCAGTGAAAGGTGGGGACCTCCAGTCTCGTCTTCCCCCACTGCACGTGCATGCCTGTCTATACCCATCTCACATGATGCCATGTGTGTGATGACATTCACATCACCCGCCCTCACAGAGCCAGTCAGCCCTGGGTGGAATATGAATGCCATTCGCGTGTCGGGAATGCACGTTTGCCTTCCGATTGTCTGTGCCTTTCCAGTGAAGATGTGCTTGATGTGTTTATATTAGAGTTACTCTGAAATGTAACTACTGGCTTGTTTTTTGGTCCTGTGAGAACTACTGGCTTGTTTCCCCCCCAAAGGTACTGGAAAGTTACAAGAAGGGGAAGAAAGAGGAGGAGGATAGGAGCAAGGGTAATGATACTCCAGCCCACAGGAGAAGAAGTCACTCTTACTCTTACCTTTAAAAGGGGATAGACAGAAATCCAACTGTTTCATGTGTTACTTTCATTCTATGTGTAGGAAAGTGCCCTCTGGGGAGATAGGGGGTGCTCATTTCCGAGACGGCCACTCCTCTCCTCCAGACTCTCTTTACAGAGCCACAAACTGAGCTTGAGTCACTGGTTAATTTATTTGGCATCAATAGAGACGCTCTGGGTCCCTGTCCCCATGCACATACATCTGGGGGAAGCAAGCGTCCTCAGAAACAGGGCTGTCGCTTTCCTTCTAGCTGCATACATGACTCTCTTCCCTAGACTGTGCTTCTGAGAGAGGCAGGTCAAAGGTCTGCAAGCTGTAATGAGCATAAGCATCCCCAGGCGTTTGTGTCCAATGAAGATTCCTGCATCCTGCGTGCAGACTCTGGTTAAGCGGGACTGGGGTGGGGCCCAATGGTCTCGTGCTTAACTGGTGATTCTGGTAATCCAGAATACTCACTTCTAGAAAGCCTAATAGTGGAAACTCCAGGGCCCCACTCACCCCTGCTAGAAAGTTCGAATTCCCGGCTCTGTTTCCTTTCTGGGGTTCTTTGGCAGGCTAAATGATCCCTATAGGATCTGTGACCTTTCTTCATCCAGTGAATACTGTTTACATCCACACTCACAGCTTCCTATGATCCTTCAATAGGCAAGACAACAGTGTTGATAGGACAATGTTCAAAGCTCATTTATCCTTAGGGAATGTGTGGACTACTGATCTAGCACCTTGACTTCAAAAACTCGGACACCTGTTGCCTGTGATGGCCACTTCTGTATTATCTGAACCACTTCTGTATTTGTGTCTAAAATACCTACAGAGGTAACAGACTATGAACTTTCCTCCCTTAGGGTGAGTGTCAACCCAAGTCCCCAGTGCTTAGAAGGCATTTACTATGTGTTAACCATTCGGAGGCCAAGGCTACAAAGGTGAGAACTGGTTCCTGCCCTTCCTCCAGGCCAGCAGGGGAAACACAAATACCAGGGAAACTGACAGGGGTCACAGAAAGTGATAGATCTGGAGACCCTGCAAAATGTCCAGCCCTGAGCTCCAAAGGGTATTCAGCAGTGGAGATGATTTTAGCCACACTCACAGGCAGGTGGCAAATCTAGCTGATTTGAGCAAAGTATAAAAAGTAGGGTGATCACTCTCCAAGCAGAGGGGCCTTCACAAATTGTGGGGAGGGGTGGGGTTGGCAAGGAAGAGCCAGGAAAGGTGGTGGGAGTCGGGCCTCAAAAATAAGCAGTGGAGGCCAAATCATGGAGGGCTGAGGAGTTTAAAGTGTAGTCTTTGGGACACGGGAGCCACTGATGGTTCATGAGGAAGAGAATGGCAGGATCAGCATGATTGGAAAGGAGGGCTTGTTCAGTGTGGAGGAAGAATCAGAGTAGGTAGTAGTCATCTTTCAAGGTCAAGCTCTGAGCCCGTAAGAACAAAACACAAAAGGGGAATTAAAGTCAGGTTTCACTGCTAGTCATATATTGTTCGTTTCCAAGTGATTTTTCTGAGGCTGTGGAGAGGACACAGTGGATAATGAAAAGGTGAGCAGGGAAGCTATTTAAGATATGTCAGCTGGGCTCGGTGGTTCAGCCTGTAATCCCGCACTTTCGGAGGCTGAAGTGACTGGATTACCTGAGCCCGCGGGTTCGAGACCCGCCTGGGCAACTTGGCAAGACCTCATCTCTACAATAAACCAAAAATTAGCCAGGCGTGGTAGCGCACGCCTGTAGTTCCAGCTACTTGGAAGACTGAGGCGGAAGGATCGCCAGAGCCCAGCAGGTCAAGGCTGCGGTGGCCAGGAGCGTGCCACTGCACTCCAGTCTGGGCGACAGAGTGAGACTCCAACTCAAAAAAAAAGATGTGTCAAACCCAGGTAATCAGTAATCGTTTGGCATATACGTGCACCCAAACTTACTCTGCCCCCACATTCCCTTTTTTGTTATGGGCCTTCTAGCCTTGGGCCTGCCAGCTTTCTTGAGATGAGTGGATGAAAGTGCATTGTGACTTCAGGTCTGCTGCAGAGCTGGTGGGACAGTGCCACCAGAAACTGCTGCTGGGACCTGGGCAGCTCCCCTGCCTTCAGGTTTGGGGGCAGTGATGTCATCCCACAAAACTGAACCCTGAGAGGGCTGAACAGAAAGTCATCTAGGATGTCCTGAGTCCGTCAAGCCATGGGGAGGTCACTTGGGTAGTCAGAAGGACAGCTGGTGCGAGCCATCATCTGTCTTGGGCTGGCTTTTCCCAGTCTTGGTCCCGGGTTTAAATGGACTGTTCACTGGTGACATCGGCTGTTAGGACAGGGGAAGGGAACATCAAGTTTCTACTCACAGCCCTGGTTCTTTATTTTTACTCATGACCCTGGCAATCCCTTTTGAATACTCCATTGTTTTATTAATAATATTTTATTGTAGAGATGAGGTCTCGTCAAGTTGCCCGGGCTGGTCTTGAACATGCGGGCTGAGGCAAACCACTCGCCTCAACCTCCCAAAGTACTGGGATTACAGGCTGACCCACCAAGCCCAGCCAGCATTGTCTCCTAGCAATTTAGGAGACCAAGGTGGTAGGATTGCTTGAGCTCAGGAGTTTGAGACCAGCCTAGGCAACATAGCAAGACCTCCTCATCTCTCCAAGAAAAAGAAAAAACAGAAGAAAATGAGCCTGGCAAGTTGACTCATGCCTGTAGTCCCAGCTACTCAGGAGGTTGGGGCAGGAGCATTACCTGAGCCTAGGAGGTTGAGGCTGCAGTGAGCTGTACTCCAGCCTGGGCAACCGCCGAGGCAACCATCTCCTTCCTGGTAGCCAGGTACCTAAAGCAAGGTCACCAAACTTGGGTTTACACTTCAGTTGCCACTCATCAGACTTTAGGTGATATCGTTCTTGCAGCGTGGAGCTGAACGCAGGGTAAGGAAGGAGGGCTGACTCGCTATTGCTTTGCTAGTGGAAACCAGCCAGCTTGATGGCACTGTGCGGTACAAGACAGACATAGCTCATCCATCAGGGTGGTGTTGGGGCATCTACTCTGCGCCTTGTGAATTCCAAATCTGGCCCAATTTGGGCTGATGGGCAAAAAAGCTATTTTGTGTTTCTCCAAAAAGTTGTGTAACTGGAGTCACTGAGAATATATTCCGTGTGGATGCTTATATTTTGTTAACTTCACAACTAATATAGCATGTCTTATTTTTCAAAAACCGTGTGTGCTAGGTGCAAATAACATTATGAAGTGGTATTTAATTAAAAATCCATGCAGTGACTGCTGAGTCTGTGTCTTATGTTTGGCGAATACTTTCTAGAATTATCTGGAAAAGTGCTAATAGAACTTTGTGAGGATGAAAATGTTCTGTGTGCAGACCAACATGGTAACCACTGTCCACATGTGGCTGTTGAACACTTTAAATATGACTAGTGCAACCAAGGAACTGAATTTTTAACCTCATTTAATTTTAATTACAAGAATTTAAATTTCCACATGTAGCTAGTTTTTTTTTTGTTGTTTTTTGTTTTTGTTTTTTTGATTTATTGTAGAGCTGTCTCGCCAAGTTGCCCGGTGGGTCTCAAACCTGTGGGCTCAGCAATCCACTTGCCTCAGCCTCTCAAAGTGCTGGGATTACAGGCTGAGCCACCGAGCCTGGCTTTTTTTTTTTTTAATTGAGTTGGAATCTCACTGTGTCGCCCAGGATGGAGGACAGTGGCACGCCCCCAGCCACTGCAGCCTCAACCTGCTGGCTCAAGCGATCCTTCCATCTCAGGCTTCCAAGTAGCTGGTTGCCCAGACTGGTCTCGAACCCATGGGCTCAGGCAGTCTCTCACCTTGGACTCCCAAAGTGCTGGGATTATAGGCGTGAGCCACCTGGAGATGCTTATGATTTCAGCTGAGGATGAATTCAGCTTCCCCAACCTCTTGCAGTGATTAAAAGCTAGGACCCTGTGACTGTACTGCTTGGATTTGATTCCTGGCTCTACTGTTAGCTATGTGGCATTGGGCAAGTTACTTAACCTCTCTGTGCCTCATCTGTGAAACGGAATAATAATAAAAATATCTACCCAAAGGTTATTATGAGGACCAGATGAGTTAATAAAGTCTTGGAACTATATCCAGCACCCCATCAAGACACTGTATTACATTGAAGCAATGACTTTTCCCTTTATTCATCTTGCAGTTATATAATGAACACTTGTGGGGTTTTTTTATTGGTTTTTTTTTTTTTTTTTTTTTTTTTTTTGGTTTTTTGTTTTGAGACAGGATCTTGCTCTGTTGCCCAGGTTAGAGTGCAGTAGTGTGATTGCAAGTCACTGCAGCCTAGAACTCCTGGGCTCAAGCAGTCTTCCTCCTCAACCTCCCAAGTAACTAGAATTACAGGTATGCACCACCATCCCCAGTTAATTTTTTATTTGTTGTAGAGACAGGTCTCACTATGTTGCCCAGGCTGGTCTCGAACTCCTGGCCTTAAGCAATCCTCCCACCTTGGCCTCTCAAAACAGTGGGATTATAAGCGTGAGCCACTGTGCCCAGCATGATTTGTCTTAATTACGCAATTCTAAGCCTACCTGTCTCTTCCTTCTGCGTTTCCAGTTTATAAAGGCAGGTGTGGTATAGTGCCTCTATATTTATCTATATACAGTCACACAAATATACAGTCATATATACACACTCATGCATTTCCTAAACACGTTATACCACACGACACAGTAAGATCTCATGTCCTACTTTATTTCTTATTGTTACTCATTTCTCCTTTATGACAGTTCCATGAGGTTTTAGTCTTATACCCGTTTTACAGGTGAAGAAACTGAGATTCAGGTCACATAGCAGATGAACAGCCAGTATCTAAGACCAGGACTGCCAGACTCCCAAACCTGAACTATTCCCTCTGCTGTGCTGCCTTTCCTGGTGTGGTAGAGCGGGATTTCAGTGGGGGCTAAGGTCTGCCATGCGTCGGGACTTCACCTTTAGCTGAAAGGGAGAGGGAAGTACAGTTTCCAAGGAAAATGCAGACCTGCAGAGCCAAAGCTCATTCGCTGAGTCTCTGAGGCCTATGTGTGCAGTGGCTCCAGCGTCTGCCTGCTAACCAGACAAGGGAGTGGAATTCAGTCTGCTACAGAGCTGGAGGGAATCTTAGAATCATCCATGACTCTCAGACTTTATTTCATGAAGCAGTACAATTTAAAGATAGGGATTGGTGGGCAACCCCTTCGGGTTCCCTCACACTGTGGGAGCTTTTCTGTCCTCTCAAAAATCCTGCTTTCAAAAAAAATAATAAAGTAAATTAAAAACAAATTTAAAAAATAGGGATGGCAAATGGATACCAACTCTTTATAGTAATCTTGCTCTCATTAATGTTTTCATGATACATTCAGTTGTTACTTATCATTTATTAATTTTTACTTATTGGTTTCATGAAATAGTAAAATGTTTAGTTTGAGACTGGCAAAAGGTTACTAACTTTTTGTAGTTAATCTTGTTCTCATTAATATTTTTGTTATTGATTCAGTTATTTATTAGTCTATTAACTTTTACTTTCTTGGCTTCATGAAACAGTAACATTTTTATATAGAGATTGGCAAAGGTTGCTAACACTTCTTGTAGTTAATCTTGTTCTTTTTAATGTTTATTTTTTTTAAATTAGTTTTATGACCAAATAAATTCGACTTTCTTTGTCCAAACAAAAAAGTAGGAGAGAAACGTAGTCCAAACCCTATTTAAAAGAAAGATTGTGTTTAGTTCAGTAGTACCAATGTTCTGTCATGACCTTATTAAATTTCAAAGTGTACTAAGCAGAACATTGAAATTATAAATATAAAGCAAATGCAAGCCGAGAAACACACATTTTCTCATTGTAGGAACACAGATCTGTGAAGGCTGCCCAGGTATGGGAGGAGCCATGTAGCCATGGGCACCTCACCTTCTGCCTTCTCCAGTCGATCCTGAGATGTGAGCCTTCGACATTGCGCTCTAGACCTTTTTATGCACTTAATTGTCAGGATTACTCTTTAAGAAGTTAAATAACAAGATGGGTACGATGGTGCCTGCCTGTAGGCCCAACTACTTGGGAAACTGAGGTGGGAGGATCGCCTGAGCCCAGGAGGTAGAGGCTGGTGAGCCATGATAGTGTCACTGCACTACAGCCTAGGCAAAAGAGTGAGACCCCTTTTAAAAAAAAAAAGGCCGGGCTCAGTGGCTCAGTTTGTAATCCCTGCACTTTGAGAGACTGAGGCAAGTGGATTGCCTGAGCCAGTGGGTTCGAGACCAGCCCAGAAAACTTGGCAAGACCTCGTCTCTACAACAAATCAAAAATTAGCTGGGCGTGGTAGCACGCGCCTGTAGTTCTGGCTACTTGGCAGAAGGATCGCCGGAGTCCAGCAGATCGAGGCTGGGGTGGCCGTGAGTGT